AGCCCTAAACCATTCCGTCCTCCCTTCCGTTCTGCTCTCTATTCTTCTCCGCCTCGTTGCACGAGACTTATCGCCCCCGTTCTTCTCTCATCGTTGGAGGCAGAGAAGGTTAGCCAATGTACAACACATTTTTCGCTCTCAGGGGGGAACCGCCTCCCTTCTTCTCTCATCGTTGGAGTCAGAAAGTTAGCCAACGTACAACACATTTTGCGCGCTCGGGGGGGAACCGCCTCCCTCCCTTCTTCCTCCCCAAGTCGGCAGTGGTCCCTCCCCGTCTACCCCTCAACCATTCCGTCCTACTTCCGCTCTCTGCTCTCTCTATTCTTCCGCTCGCCTCGTTGCACGAGATTGATCGTCACCGTCATCTCTCATCGAGGGTCAACAAGATTAACGAGAGAATACAACACATAGACACAAACAACATATTCCCATCACCGGAAGCTACGGTGGTGGGGTGGGGTGGTCCATCCATCGCGATCGACCGATCCGACCGATCCGACCGATCCGACCGATCAGACCGATCAGACCGATCCGAGATCGGGCGAAGAAAACGGAGAGGGCAACGGCGAAATTACCGACAAAGACGAACCTAACGGCACGAACACAAAGGAAGAAATACGTGCAATCACGCTAATAAAGGAAGAAACTGAGTAACAATCTCTCGCTAATGAAGTAAAAAAAAAATGTGCAAACGAGGTCATCGAGACAGGTACGCATGTCAGAGAGCACATAACAATCCCGAGCACAAGAAAGGCAAAGAATCGCGTGCAGGCATCAGAGTCCTGGAAAAGAAAGCAAGAAAGACACGAAAAAATGATCTGCTAAAATGAGCAACGCAGGCTCAGAAAACGCGTATTAAAAAGGGGAAAAAAGAAGAAAATACTGTAAAACGCGTGTCAAACCGAAAAAAGAGAAAGCTAGACGAAAAAACGCAGGTGTGTCAAAATAGGCACGGAGGCGGGGATATGAACACTCTCGAGAGAGTTTGGAGGCTGCCTGCAGAGTCGAAAAGCATGACACGAGGCAAACGGTGAGACACGCATGAAAGAAAGACACCACAAGAACACGATGAGATGATCGAGGTAGTGGATCCACGGTAGGAAGCCAGGGGGGGGGGGCCGGGGGGRGGGGGAGGGCCTATACTGTAGCAATGTTCTGTTTGGAAAGCATGAACCTGGCCATGATAGCAGTCAGATTCGTGCTTTCAAGGCATGAACATAGCACCAATCAGGTCTGGCCCCAAGAAAGATGACTTCGAAGACGACGGATCGAGATAAGATCTAGACAGACACAATTCAAAAACAACAAGAAACTTGTTACTCACCGCTTTTCAATCTTTTTTTTTTTTTTTCTGCTAACCGTTCTTCAATCATCTGATCGAAAAAAAAAAAAAAAAAAAAAAAATCATCTGATCGAAGAGACGCTGTCGTTTCACTGACGATGCGGGAAGAGTGGAGCGGCGGATCGTCGTTACCAACTGCTCAAGTGGGAATAGAGAATGAGACCTATGGGATGAAAATGAGAGGTAGGGCTGGAAGCGAAGCCATTGGGGCGGAACTAAGCGGGGCATATCACTCGCTTTCTACCGATACTCAGTGACATCGGCCATGACAGAGGACTAAGAAGGTAGGGTAGGAGAAGTGTGTGTGCACAATGAGACAAACGTAGTCCGTGAGAGAGGTAGAAGAAAAGAGGCACAGAGAGAGGGAGAGAGAGAGGGACATAGGCATTACAAGTACGGAGAGAGGAGAAAGAAGGACGGGATGTCGAGAAACAGAGAATAAACGAGACGAAGACTACCTTCTTACCCCGAATACAACGTACGGGCATTATAGCTGTATTGGGGGTATCTTTCAATCTACATACAGCTATAATGACCGTACGTTGTATTCGGGGGAAGACTGTAGGGCACCCCATGAATGAGATGATGAAGAAGATGTTATCACAAGAGAGCCAAGGAGAGGATAGGCTGGCGCAGTGGAAGATCTGCTGCAGAGGGAAGGAGACCAACGAAGAGCGGCACAGAGAGAAGGGGAGAGCGGTACATAAGGGTTAACAAGTACGGAGAGAGGAGAAAGAGGGACAGGATGGAGAATCAAGAAGAAACGAGACAAAGACTAAGCACCTCATGACTAGGAGGATGAAGAGACGAGGAGAGGAGAGGCTGGCGCAGTGGAAGATCTGCTGCAGAGGGAAGGAGACCGACGCGCTCAGTCGGAGAGACAAGAGGAATACATTGAGAGAAAGAGAGAGAGAGGACAAGCAACAACGAGTGGAGTGGTACAAAAGGAGAAAGAAGAAAAAGAGCGGCAATATAGACAAACAAACAGACAACAGACGGAGAAGCAAAAGACGGGGATGGTGACAGACGCTATGTAGGGAAGAGAGGCATGACGATCCGCGAGAGTGGGGGAGCACGAAGGAATCGAAGTTATTACATACATACCTGATCCTGAGCTGCGTGCTAAAGATGACATCTCCTCCTCCCCCTGTTAGCGTGAACTCCGGTACCGTGAATTCATACCCATCGAAGTAGAAATCGCAGTAATCCAAGGGTTTCGTGTCCAGAGGCCGCGAGTTCACCACCGACGCAAAAAATAGCCCAGCTACGAGCACGACCAGGAGCCGACCGGCAAGGACTCGATCCCGGGCCATTCCTGATATGCAAAAAAATCTCGCTAATAACGATATGATGGCAAAGCACACACCTGTACCCGCCTTCCCAAACATCGACCAGCAGACTCAACGTATCCGATGCTACCTACCTAACCGCTCTCACAACCTCTCTCTCTCTCTCTCTCTCTCTCTCTCTCTCTCTCTCTCTCTCTCACACACACACACACACACACACACACACACAAACACCGAGAACACCCTCTACCCAAAAGACATGCACACAAAGAATCGCACTACTGTAGGCCCCAATTACGACTGCCTCTCTTCCTCACCCTGTTTCTCCCTCCTTTTTCACCTCATCCTCTTTCGCCCTCTTGTTCTTCCGAACCCCCTTTCTCTCTCCCCGTCGTTGTACAGACATGTAATTCACGGTAGCGTCACCGTGGCCCGCCTCTATCTCCTGTGGCTCGGGTGTGTGTTTGTGTTGTGTTTGTGTGTCTGTGTGCGCCGCGCGCGCGTCCGTCGAAAGTGAGAAAGCGAGCAGCTTTCTCCAACCTCGCAATGTTTTCCCGCTTCCTTATAAACACAACCGATCAACACAGGAGGGTCATATCGCTGACGAACGAGCGACCTGACGACTACCTCCTGCAGAACGACCCCGCATCCGTTCCCCGCGACCGACTGCAAACGAGCAACAGCCGTCTAATCCTGACACTGTACGATTACATGATGATGGCACATTCACCAAGAGCTGAAAACATACCATGCTGCAAGTGAGCAGGAAACTAACAAAGAGCAGGAGAGGAGGCAGCAAGCAGACGGCAGCCAACACTTTTCACCACCCAAGCAAGAGACAACAATGCTCAGACAGGGACCGCGAAACGTAGGTAGGGACAAACGACGTGTGTGTCAGGACAGGACACCCGATCCCGGCCACACGAACCGCCTCCAAATACTCCAGAGAATGCTCAGTAGTATTTACAAACCTATCACCCCAGCACCTGATACGCATTCGCGCTTCTGATCAAAGCACTTACTCCCCCTCTTCCCCCCCCCCCCYCTCTCTCTCTCTCTCTCTCTCTCTCTCTCTGTGTGTGTGTTGTGTGTGAGCGCGCGCGAGCGCGTATGTATCCTCGGTCGCGTTTGTCTGGACACGGGAAGCTGTCTGTTCGCGATGCACGCCAGCCAATCTATAGATCGATGTTTGCCACTGCCGCACACGATTACCGACCTGTTACTCAGGAGGTCTGTATCTGCCTGTCTATACGACTTAACAGCTAAACAACAACAGCTCCAGGCTGACGATTTGCACCAGTACACCGAATCTGTGTACCACGGGGCTTCATGACGTACCACAGAGGACGACCTCTCTCTCTCTCTCTCTCTCTCTCCAACCCTCCGCACCCTTTTCCGTCACCACCCACCTTTCTTTTCCCCACCACCACAGCACCACTGGGTACGGCGCGCTCCTCTCAAGCAAACACACCTATCACATTTCCAGCAATGCATTAGCTCGTCGGAACAAAGGTCATGGCGACGCCACTGACCAGATAGGCCCAATACCCGCGACCTAAGAGAATAATCGTTCCAGTTAGAGCCATCAGCGGCGCAAGAGGCTCGTGTCATCGGCCGATGGGGTACGGTAATCGAGATGCACGCGAAGGGCTGATCGATGCTCGCCACAGACTAGACTACGCTCGTATTGCACGCATGCATGCTATTCACGTCAGTGTCAAGGAAGACAAGAGTAAGCAGAGCCCGGGCTGCCACCTAAGGTCATAGTCCTACCGAGTACAACGCGTATGCGTTCTGTTCAAGGAAAGACAGTAGCAGTCCACTTGACGAGACGCATCACCGTCGAAGGCATTACGATCCCGCGGCTAGGAAACCGGTCCTGCTGGTAGTGATACCTATGGGTCTCCGTCTTGCGCCCACACTACGGCGGCCGCCTCTCCCCTCCCCAGCGCCCGACACTTGTCCGAGAGTAAGAAATCACTGACTCCCGCCGGTGCCGTGCTACAGCACGACAAACACGCCTGCACACTCTCCGGGACTTCCGCTGCAGCCCGCTGGCCCGCCTCCAGTCCATACAACAATGTCGCCGTAACAAGAAAACACCATTTTTCCTGTCGCCTAACTACCAATAAGCAATAGTGGTAAGCCACTGCTGTCTGGCTTTTGAACGGAAGAATACAACGACGATGACGACGGCCGGCGGACCTCTGCCCCTCTGCCTCCACTTCTGCGTCCATGATTCTCAGTGTGCAGAAGACTGTTGGCGCCAATAATACCATCCAGTCCAGGCTTTCTTCGCCCTTTTGCCGAAAACGAACAAAAAGAGCGAAAAAGTCTCTGCCGGGGGCAACGGTAGGCATGGGTGATAGAACCGTCGCAGCGGGCCCGGGCTGGCGCTGTCCACGCGGCGCCGACCAGCGAAAAGAGAGAGCGGCAAGCGACGACTCCTCGCGGCAGCGCCGGCGCCAACATGGCGCCCACTGGGAGAGAGTATCCTTACAGGATCCGCTTCCCCTCGTCGTCCTGCTCTAGCACCCTTGCGCGTGGAACTCTGGATTCGAACCCACGATCTCCTTGCAATAACCACATGCGTGGGACTTTTTTTCTTTTTTTTTTTTGCGTGGAACATTTCTGCCATGCGGATCAAGACCGGTTCCGCGCATGACAACTACAATCCAGGGCTCCTCGCTCCACTACACAGAACTGAACATGGACAGCAGAGGGGACCAGGAGCACTTGAACGGATCATAAACATAAAGTATCGGGTCTCTTATTATGTCCAGATGCATTAAGAATGCATGGTGTTCAGTGAGCGAGAGGTTCTCTCGCTTTCCCTCTGCGCCACTCGCCACCGTAGCACACCACTCGCCAAATAAACAAAAATAAAAATGTGAGAAATGCAAACAAAATGACGAAAATTTTAAGCCGAAAGAGGGACTGTGTTTTCTCAACAAAAAAAAAAAAAAAAAGAGTATAGTCGCACGCACAGAACTTCTATTTGACGATATATATACACTGATCGATAAAAAAAGGGAAAAATATATATATATACACTGATTGTTGGTTTTTATTTAATTGAATACCGGAGGCAGCGGGATTGAATCAAATCCGATGACTGAGGGCATACTCACATTAGGACTTTCCCCGATGCATATGACCGCTTTTCAGACACCGACAGGATGCACCTAACGTGTATTACGTCCACAGAGGAGTGGAAAAAGTCCTCGTATAAGTATGCCCTGAATCCCCCCAGCTTCTGTATGAAGATACGTACACTAGGAAAAGAAAGAAAATTACACATTTGGCGAGTAGCGGAACCAGCCCCCTATTTTGACTTTTACGCGCTCTTTTTCCTCCGTCGCTCCCTGTTTTTTTTACACTTCTGGCGCCTCTGCGCGGCTATGCACTACGTTTCTTTTCTCTGGCGCCACTGCGCACGGTTGCGCCCACACGCGCTCCTTTCATAGCACCACCGCGCGCTCACGTACAAAGCACGCGACTCTTTTCTCTAGTGGCAGCGCGTGCGCTCGTAAAGCACTGCGCTTCTTTTCCTATTCCGTTCCAGTTTGTCCCCCTGACGGACTGCTCTGCCGGCCTTTCCTTGCCCGGGCCCCGGCTACCGGTCGCCGGCTGGGCCGCGCCCCGATGAGGAGCTGACTTCGAAGGCGAGCACGCGCTCGGTCAACGCTTGGGACGACCTCCCCGCCAAGCGACCCCAAAGAAAATCTGAGCGCGCGCCACATTGGCAGCGCGAACCGCCTTGCGCGGCTGCTTTCACGAATGGCAAGCGTTTCGTTTCCGCGGGCCTCCGCCGTTCAATCCAGGGACTCTCGCCGGCTGCACCAGTGGGTGGACTGCACGGCTGGCGAGCGGTAGGCACATTTTGCCCGCGGAGACGACGATGCTTGGACGATACGTACCGGCAGCCCACAGCACAGAGAAACCGAGGGAGGCGGTGGGAGGGAAAGGGTCGTCGTAACGTACGGCACGCTGCTGCGGTTCTTCTCTTCTCTATTCCAAGGAACCCAAGAGAGGGGGCACAGCACCGAGAACGCTGTGAACGGGAACTGCCATTCCCGACGGGAGTGCGTAGGATAGACCTGGGCAGTTCACCGAATAAGGGCCAGATCCCACTAGCCCCTATTGTTCATTTCTGACCGTTGATCTTCGTAATCGAGGGTGAAAAATGAATGAATAATCCAGGGTGCGTTATGGTTGCTGCTTATGGTTTCCTTCCATTTCGATTTCTCAACTGGAGCGTTTTTTCTGTGGAGCGCTATTTACGGGCAGTTGTTATTGAAGTGGATTACAATTACCGACATGAGGTTGTTCGCATTGTTTTTGAACCTTACGTTGCTTTCGCGCTGTTTAATGAGCTGAGTTGTTTTTATACTTTTGTGGTGGATTACTGACGAGAGTACCGTGTTTTGTATTTTCGTAGCATTGTACGTTGGGTTTTATGCTCGTAGGACTGCGTGGGTTCTCTATCTTGAAATTGGAGCTCAACTTTTTCGTTGTTATTGGAGCACGGTGTGATTTTAAGGCAGCAACAGCAACTGAGCACGTGGGTTGGGTTACTCGCCAGCACTAGGCTTTAGTCCATGTCCATGAATGGGGAGATCACGATCCAGATCCAGATCTAGATCACCAGACTGAAGGAGGAGGAGAGAGGATTCACGCTTACCGGACCATATTAAGCGACGTCCCCATTGCTTTGCAGAATCGACAAGCTATAAATCCATCCTCAACTCCAAATGTTGACAAGAAAGGAAACCAATCCGATTAGCCGACAGACTCCGGTTCGAGGCCTCCATCAAATCATGTCAAACACAACTATATGCTGCCAGGATTCTAACCTGGGTCTCCATTGTCCTGACACTAAAGCGCTGATGTACTAGGCATATGTACTACAGCATAAGTTTCGGCAGCCCTCTCAACCGTCCCCATTGTCTTAGACAAATGTTGGTTTCTCGTTAAGTGTCCCAATGTCTCCACCCTACAAGCAGGGCCATAACTAGGGACACGGACCCTAACCGAGACCTTCGAAGGCATTCTTGTCTCCCTCCAACAATTCCCACAATCAAACAAATATATATACATAAATTTTATCTTAGACTATTCCTGCAGTTTAATACAGGAAGGTCAGGTCTCCATCTTGGCCCACCATAGTCTGGGCGACCGAGCCAGATCTACGGCTCACCACGTTGTTATTTTAGCGGTAGTGTCCTCGCAGGTTGCACCACGATAGACTTTCTCCTGATAAGCATTCAATCAGGACTCAAAAAGACTCAATCGACTCGACTCTTCTCCCACGCCGTTCCGCAGGAATAAAACCCTCCTAGGTGGCCACACCCCTTTAAGTCTTTACTCCCTTGGCAAGACGTAGGCCCGCTACCAGGTTACGTTGATCAGCAACCAATACTTGGGGAAGCGCCCTAGCAATGCTAAACTTCACCGTTAGCTTAGTATTTCTGCCAATGTCTTAAAATTAGCAGAAGTGACTGGACGGTGTGTCGCAACAATACAGGCCTATTGCGGGACTACGCAAAGGTCTGTCACACATAAAAGGCATTTACCAGTCCTCTGTGGGACAACACAGAGAGCACGGCATCCTCTTCACTTTCACAAAACGTAATCACTGGCAG